ATAAACCAGTTCTAAACCGAAACTAAAAACCAAAACTGGTTTTGTGATAACAAATTTGCCTTAAGTGTGCACGTTTGTAATGCCAGGTGTTAAGCTATGTGTGTACGTACTATCTGCTTGTGATTGCTCCCCTAAAATGATTAGATGTCAACCAAATTATATGTTCTACAATTGTACATTTAGTGTCATGTTATGCCTGTTAACGATGCTGCCTTCCAGAGTTCATGATATTTAGTATCCATACCTCCACCTTCAGTAGAGAGCTGGAGAGTTCCCGACCTGTCTGCCTAGGATTCTCCATTTTATTGAATAGTATGTCTACACTGAAACCTCAGAAACAGATCACAGATATAACATGTCCTGGGGAGATATATTCCATGAATTTCCTTGTTTACACAATTTTGTGTCACATGTCAGTTTCAGCTAGTAGCATTTTACTCAAATTTCCTAACGAACTATTGCAACATTTGAATTGGAAGAGTTCAAATGTGTCTTCAGGGGAGAATGAGTTAAAAGATTAAAGAAATGAATGTTGAACACAACTTAAAATTACTGCTTTGATTTTGCCATTTTTCCTGTAGCTTAAATTGGATTATCAAGAATGGTTTCTGCTACCACCTTTAAAAACTTTTGGAATGCAATTTGATTATGTGATGTCAGTAGTCCTGTTCCAATAGCAGGTATCATGGGCCCAGATGTTTAGAGCTTGATCGTCCTGATAAGTTATTAACTATTTCATCTTGAGTATTTACAAAGATAATGAATTGAAAACTTCAACTTTATTGAAAGTGATTCAACTATTATTCAAACTATTTAAGACAATAAACTCATTATTTAAACATAAGTAATTTACAAGGTAGAAGTTTCACTGTGTGTTGATTTACCATACATTTCATCACTATAATGTAGAAGATGAAACTGTCACTTTGTTTTGAAATCCATGCATGCATGGTTTCCATAGTTACAGTAAAACCAAATCTATGACTGAAAATTAAAATGATTTATTACATACTTACTAATAAATACGGGTTTTTTATATATGCGATACGACACAATTACCCATATCAGCCCTCGCCGTATCACACCCCAAAAGCCGTATCAGCCCTGCCATATCACACCCATAAACCCATATCAGCCCGAAAAACCCGTATCACACCCCTTTTGGAAATTTTTCGTTTTTCAATAATTCAAAAGAAAAATAGATCAAAAGAAAGTAGCTTTTATTAGTAAGTATGTAATAAACAGAATAAAACATGCCTTTTTCCATATCAGCCCCAGTATCAACCCTCGACCAATATCAGCCCTTGGGCTGATATTGCAGTCTCGGGTTGATACTGGGTGTGATATGGAAAAAGACATGTATTATTCTCTATATAGCAATCAGAAGTTCATATGTACCATCAGATGAAAGGTTTGTATAAATAATATGCAATGTATACCCTCAACTATTTCATGACTCTTCAGGTTTAATGATCTGAAGTTGAACTTTGTCCACGTTTTAGTTTCTATAGATTGAATTTAAATGTCTTGTTATCCTATCGGTGGTAAGATTGAGTTTAAATGTCTTGTTATCCTATCGGTGGTAAGATTGAGTTTAAATGTCTTGTTATCCTATCGGTGGTATAAGGTATTGTCTACATTCAGATCTTATGTCAAATACTCTGTCAAATCTCACTGATACAAAAAACATAGGTGTTTAACCACTGTCTGCAGTTATGTCCCTTTGAGGCAGTCCATTACTACAAAATTGAGACTTTTCCCTAGACTAACATCGGAAGTATATTGATGTAGGGATGACATATTTGTATACATATCAATTTATCCTAGTCCTTCTGAATTGAAGATATTTAATTAATCAAAGAATTGTGTAGACATGCAATTTCCTTGAGGTGTACTTGCCTCAGTGAATAGTAAGAGCTGTCTGTGTGTTGTTAGACTAAGGAGATGATTACATGGTTGCATTAGTTTGTACTGAGTTCTGGTAAAGGTCAGTGTACTTCAATAGACAAGTCTATTGACTATATGGTTACTGGAGATCAACTGTTTGCTGATAGGCAGACATTCATAACAATAAAGGGGAAATTTCCTGGGGATACACATCATGGAAAGCTGATGAAAGAGCAAATGTACGTAAAAACTATTGAATTAGATTGTTTGAACCGAGTATGATGTAATATTTCCTGATAAAATGCTGTTATGCCAGTGTGATATGGTTAATAGACATGGTCATGATTATTTTACATGAAAATGAAGAATACATTGTCTGATACACAAAAATATAGATCGCCCAACAACTACTGGTTGGTTATATGTTTGTATAACTCGAGTTAGTTAATTTTCAGACTGTGAAAGGTCCATGAGGTTTATTGAGTGTTTTTAAGCTTAGGTTGATAACGGTAATAAACTATCGGTGCTACCACAGACGTGGCTCTGAGACGAGATGATATGTGAACTGTATATGCTTATCAAACATTTCTGTTACACAGCATACTATTTCTGGTGTATTTATTTATGAAAATGTAACAATTTAAGAACATGACTCAATTGCCACTGCTGTTTGACAAGAATTCGCGCCATGTCAAAATATTATCCAATCCGTTGTAAGGGAAATAACTCTTACGTTGGTAAAGTCGCATTGAGAAATATAATTTAAATATATTCCAAGAACATATTCAATGACAGTAAATAAAGTCACTACATATATTAATAATTATTATTAATAGGAATAAAAAATAAATAAAAATAAAAGGAGTACAATGTCTCTTTTTTTCATGCATGTTTTCCCACTACTGTTAATTATCCTTCATTTCACAAGCACAAACTGCACATATTCTTTATTATCCATTCACCGATTGGCATTCTGTATGTAAATGCTCATGTCACATCATTGGAGGGTGCTAATTAATGAAAATTACAACAATGCGTCACAAAAGTTGGGTGAAAAAAGAGGAGAGGGAGAAATGTTTCTAAGGCATCATTTAAGAGGTGATTGATTTTGGAAATTCCAAAGGCAACATCATCACATGACCTGATTTTCAATTAGCAGAATACAGAACACATATCTGAGGTAGTACAGTAGATATTGATGCTCAACGTGTTACTGAAGAAATTAAATATAAAGTGGTGAGCGGCTTTAATGTCACACTGACATAATTCTAGTTTATTATGGCCCTGCATTGGAGAAGCAGGTGCCCTATAGTACCAACAGTGTCTGTCCAGCTGTCTCCCTGCGTGTCCACACTTTCATTTCCAGAGATTATTTCAAACTCGGAAGGACTACATGGTGATACACTGTGATATGGAGATGTGCAGTAGGAGGTTTAAACGTTTTTGAGGTCACGGTTGCAGTTACTGTTACTAAAAATAGACCATGGAGGTTACAGTCCTTTTCTCTAAACCCAAAGAGGACTTCTCTATTTAAAATTTGACATGGTGATACACTGATATGTAGATGTGCAAATTGGGTTTAAAAAGCTGTTATGGTCAAGGTCAATGTTACTAAAAATATAACATGGTGGGGTCTGGTCAGTCACATAGTGAGGCCCTTTCAGACCTAGTCTGTTTTTGTAATCACAAACCAAGCATCATGAGTTAGACATTAATGTTTATTACAGTAATTCAAATACAAAACACTCAAAGTGATGTATATAATGTTTCTAGCTATATATTGTAATTATAATTCATCCAACCTATATTTGGGTTAATTAAAAGGGGCTATCTCAGCTGTATCAAATGTTTTATGTCCTAACACTCTGCTGCTGTTGCTGAGAATGACCAGCAATGTACCTAATGCCCCCATGTTTCATTGGGCATATCACTTAACCATTACCTAATTTGGATGACTGACCAGTCACATGACTACATTTATATCTGATACAGTTTCTGAGAACGACTAGCAATGTACCTTAAATGCCCCCATGTTTCATTGGGCATATCACTTAACCATTACCTAATTTGGATGACTGACCAGTCACATGACTACATTTATATCTGATACAGTTTCTGAGAACGACTAGCAATGTGCCTTAAATGCCCCCATGTTTTATTGGGCATATCACTTAACCATTACCTAATTTGGATGACTGACCTGTGTACAAACAACACTTATATCCATAAGTTTCCATGTAACAGGAAAAAGAGAAATGACTTGAACTGGAACTTGAACCTGGAACTCTCCCAACTCGAGACGGACGCTTTACCAATTGGACTACCTGGTCACCACAATCGACCTAGTCCAGTTCTGCTATACAAATATAGCAATGTTTTACATTATTTCTGTTTTTAATTGAAAAAAAACCCCATTGTGAATTATGACATCACAATAAAAGTACATTGTGACATTATTAAAATATTAGCAAAACATTATAAATGGTATAATAGCCGATAACAGCCAATGTTGTTCCAGATAGAATGCCCCCCTCTTCGCTCTCTTCTTCCCCTCTCCATTCCTGCTGCGAAACCATTAAAATACAATAAATAACCCGATCAGGTCATGACTCATTGATTTCGAAGTTTAAGTACAGTGCAAACTCTTCAATCCTTCATCTTAAAACGAGAGTGTCCCCTCTTGAGATACTTCATTTTTTGGAAACTAAATTAAATGGTTTTCCCTTTTTTTATTGGCAGAATTCATTATGAATCTCCTGCCAGAGGCTAACGTGTGGATTCCGTACCAGGGCAACTAAAGGACTAATATCCAGAATAGTGTCATATCTATAGCAAAATAAGCTAGCCTGCTGGAGATTCTGAAGCTTTTTACAGGCCTAATTTATATCTTAATAGTGAGAGTATAAGACTTTTACTGGCTCTGAAATACAATATCTTTCTGCCCTGTAGCACACCGCTGTTATCTACTAGACGTTTGCTTTAAATTTGTGTCAATCTGTTTAACTATTATATTTCTGATTCGCTTAAAACATTTTGATACTGGCCTTTTCCTGCAACTGTTATGCACGTAATTATTATACTTTATTACATTTAATTTGCTGTTCTACTTCCAGACTTAACAAAGGACAAAAAGAAGAAAAGCTGGAAGGTGAAATCGTATTTTCCTCTTACTGGACGAGCAGAAAATAGGGGCAAAGACTTTCTCCATGATGACCTCATCTACCTTGCAAAGAGAGTGACAGGTAGGACACTTTTGTTTACATTCATGGTCTGCTTTCCTTAACACTGAGGGCTAACAAATAAATACCTGTTTCTGGTTTTGACTCAAATAAAAGTATATTTTTTTTTTATAGTTATTGGACCTCTCATAATATCAGAAAACATTCATTTGAAGGTTTAGATAAAATTAACATAATAAAAAAAGTTTATGGCATACTTAATTTTCTAAGATCAAAGATTGTTCACAAAAAAATAAAGATAAAATTGCGAGATTAGAAAGTGTTTCCACACTCTGTGTCATTTACATGAGAATGTAAAAAACAGTTGTCCACCTGATTTTTTTTTTGACAAAATTACAAAAACAACATGATACAATGGCAATGTTGTTTGAAAATCTTTTTTAAATACGAGATGATATAGTTAGGACCAGAGGACCAGTGTTTTTTTCGCCATGGCACAGGGTTTGGCATGCAGCTGTGGTCTGTAAAACATTATAGCCTACCATCATCAGATAATAGACTGTTGAAATGGCTTCTGGTCCATACTCTGTTGTCCATACTCTGCTGTCCATACTCTGCTATCCATACTCTGTTGTCCATATTCTGTTGTCCATACTCTGTTGTCTATACTCTGCTGTCCATACTCTGTTGTCCATATTCTGCTGTCCATACTCTGTTGTCCATACTCTGTTGTCCATACTCTGTTGTCTATACTCTGTTGTCCATACTCTTGTCCATATGCTGCTGTCCATACTGTGTTGTCATTACTATGCTGTCCATACTTTGTTGTCCATACACTGCTGTCCATACTCTGTTGTCCATACTCTGCTGTCCATACTCTGTTGTCCATACTCTGTTGTCCATACTCTGCTATTCATACTCTGTTGTCCATATTCTGTTGTCCATACTCTGTTGTCTATACTCTGCTGTCCATACTCTGTTGTCCATACGCTGCTATCCATACTCTGTTGTCCATACTCTGTTGTCCATACTCTATTGTCCATACTCTGCTATCTGTACTCTGTTGTCCATACTCTGTTGTCCATACTCTGTTGTCCACACTCTGTTGTCCATACTCTGCTGTCCATACTCTGTTGTCCATACTCTGTTGTCCATACTCTGCTGCCCATACTCTGCTATCCATACTCTGTTGTCCATATTCTGTTGTCCATACTCTGTTGTCTATATTCTGCTGTCCATACTCTGCTGTCCATACGCTGCTATCCATACTCTGTTGTCCATACTCTGCTGTCAATACTCTGTTATCCATGCTCTGTGGTCCATACGCTGCTATCCATACTCTGTTGTCCATACTCTGCTGTCAATACTCTGTTGTCAATACTCTGTTGTCCATACTTTGCTGTCCATACTCTGTTGTCCAAACTCTGCTGTCCATACTCTGCTGTCCATACTCTACTGTCCATACTATGCTGTTTATACTCTGTTGTCAATACTCTGCTGTCCTGCTGTCCATACTCTGATGTCCATATACTCTGTTGTCCATACACTTTTGTCCATACGCTGCTGTCCATATTCTGTTGTCCATACTCTGCTGTCCGTACTCTGTGGTCCATACGCTACTGTCCATACTCTGGTGTCCATACTCTGTGGTCCATACACTGCTGTCCATACTCTGCTGTCCATACTCTGTTGTCAAAACTCTGTTGTCCATACTTTGTTGTCCATACTCTGCTGTCCATACTCCGTTGTCCATACTCTGTTGTCCATACTCTGGTGTCCATACTCTGTGGTCCATACACTGCTGTCCATACTCTGTTGTCAATACACTGCTGTCCATACGCTTATGTCCATACTCTGGTGTCCATACTCTGGTGTCCATACTCTGTTGTCCATACTCTGTTGTCCATACTCCGTTGTCCATACTCTGTGGTCCATACACTGCTGTCCATACTCTGCTGTCCATACTCTGTTGTCAAAACTCTGTTGTCCATACTCTGTTGTCAATACTCTGTTGTCAATATGCTGCTGTCCATACTCTGTTGTCTATACTCTGTTGGCCATACTCGGTTGTCCATACTCTGCTGTCCATACTCTGGTGTCCATACTCTGCTGTCCATACTCTACTGTCCATACTCTGTTGTCAATACTCTGTTGTCAATACGCTGCTGTCCATACTCTGCTGTCATACTCTGCTGTCCATACTCTGTTATCCATGCTTTGTGGTCCATACTCTGCTGTCCTACTCTGCTGTCCCTCCTCTGTTTTCCATGCTTTTGGTCCATACTCTGCTGCCCATACTCTGCTGTCATACTCTGATGTCCATACGCTGCTGTCCATACTCTGTTCTCCATACTCTCTGTCCATACTCTGTTGTCAATACTCTGCTGTCCTGCTGTCCATACTCTGATGTCCATACTCTGTTGTCCGATCTCTTTTGTCCATATTCTGATGTCCATCCTCTGCTGTCCATTCTCTGTTTTCCATGCTTTTAGGTCCATACTCTGCTGTCCTACTCTGCTGTCCATACTCAGCTGTCCATACTCTGTTATCCATGCGTTGTGGTCCATATTCTGATGTCTATACTCTGCTGTCCATACTGTGTTGTCCATACTCTGCTGTTCTATACTCTGCTGTCCATACTGTGTTGTCCATACTCTGCTGTCCATACACTGCTGTCCATACTCTGCTGTCCATACTCTGTTTTCCATGCTTTTTGGTCCATACTCTGCTGTCCATACTCTGCTGTCCATACTCTGTTGTCCATACTCTGATGTCCATACTCTGTTGTTCATATGCTGCTGTCCATACTCTGTTGTCCATACTCTGCTGTCCATACTCTGTTTTCCATACTTTTTGGTCCATACTCTGCTGTCCATACTCAGCTGTCCATACTCTGTTGTCCATACTCTGCTGTCCCTACTCTGTTGTCCATACTCTGTTGTCCATTCTCTGCTGTCCATACTCTGCTGTCCATACTCTGTTGTCCGATCTCTGTTGTCCATATTCTGATGTCCATACTCTGTTGTCAATACGCTGCTGTCCATACTCTGCTGTCCATACTCTGCTGTCCATATTCTGCTGTCCATACTCTGTTCTCCATACTCTGTTATCCATGCTTTGTGGTCCATACTCTGATGTCCATACTCTGCTGTCCATACTCTGTTGTCCATACACTGCTGTCCATACTCTGTTGTCTATACTCTGTGGTCCATACTCTGTTGTCCATACTCTGTTGTCCATACACTGTTGTCCATACTCTGCTGTCCATACTCTGTTATCCATGCTTTGTGGTCCATACTCTGCTGTCCATACTCTGATGTTCATACTCTGTTGTCCATACTCTGATGTCCATACTCTGCTGTCCATACTCTGCTGTCCATACTCTGCTGTCCATACACTGCTGTCCATACTCTGCTGCCCATATTCTGCTGTCCATACTCTGTTGTCCATACTCTGCTGTCCATACTCTGATGTTCATACTCTGTTGTCCATACTCTGCTGTCCATACACTGCTGTCCATACTCTGCTGCCCATATGCTGCTGTCCATACTCTGTTGTCCATACTCTGCTGTCCATACTCTGCTGTCCATACACTGCTGTCCATACTCTGTTGTCTATACTCTGTTGGCCATACTCTGTTGTCAATACACTGCTGTCCATACTCTGTGGTCCATACGCTCTTGTCCATACTCTGTTGTCTATACTCTGTTGTCTATACTCTGTTGGCCATACTCTGTTGTCAATACACTGATGTCCATACTCTGTTGTCCATACTCTGTTGTCAATACGCTGCTGTCCATACACTGCTGTTCATACTCTGCTGTCCATACTCTGTTGTCCATACTCTGCTGTCCATACTCTGTTGTCCATACTCAAACAGTCCTTGTTATCACTATTTCTCAGGAAGTCCTTGTACCTTTTATTTTTACTTGGACCTGATAAATTTTACTTTCCGCAATGAATTTAATGAATAATAAACTGTGATGTTCTAAATGTATCTGCAGTCATATACCCATAGCTGTTGTAAAGGCAGAATACCCTACACATACAAGTAAACGCATTTTTATGTTAACAAAACTGGTTCAAAAGTTCTGCATTAGTTAATTGGATTGTCCCCAGGTATACCTTATATCACAGGGACAAAAATACTGACTTAAATATTGAAAGAAAAAACGGTAATGAAATTTAATGTAGCAATTCAAAGGTATGACGTTTATAGCTAGAGGCTTTTAACCTTTTCTGAATTAACTTGCTGTACTGGTTACAGTAATGAAACAGCCTTATTTGGAGGTTAATTTATTGGTGTAAAAGTAAAGTTTGCTTAAAATATAAATAGACATCATTAGTGGGGAAAAAATCTGCTGCTATAGTCCTGATGGTATTTAATAGCCATCTGCAACAGTTGATTTGCTTCCTGACGAAGATCTGATGCAATGTACTTCCTGTCAGAGACGTAACCAGGTGGTATTATAGGATAGCTGTGTCACGTCAGTGACAGTTTGTCTGGTTGCTAAGCCGCAGGTCATTCACCTGATCAAAACACTATAAAATGACATCACACCCTCCTAGCAACGGAAGCCATATCCGGTAGTTAATTGCACAATTTCTCCTTGCTGATTCTTAAGAATTTCCTGGAAAATATGCTCTGTAAATTTGTAACAGCCAATTGTCTTCATGTTGCTCATGGGGTTGTTTTTTTCTTAAGAAAAGTGATTTTTTGTAAAAGTAGTTCTAGGATGACCTTGACAAGGTCATTCATCAGGATTAACTGTCTATCTGTCAGACTAGGTCCAAGCTGATCCTATCAAAGTAACTTCAGGATGTGTTCAAGCCAAAGGCTCAGAAAAATGTTTACAAAATAATAAATGTTTTTATGCTTCCCGAAATATTTCTCTGGAGCATAGAGTTGTCGCTTTGTCTGTCCATGTATCTGTGTGAACGAAAATATGGTTTCAGGATGATAACGTTGTAACAATTAATCACTTGTTAATCCAATATTGGTGAATGATGCTCCAAGGGGAGAAGAAGGTGGCTATAGATTTAGGTCAGCGTGTCAAAGGTCA